TGGCACCGGCTGGGGCAGAACTTGTCTCAGACACTTTTTATGACTCCCCCCCCCCCCCCCCCCATATGTCGGTGAAGGTGAATTCTGACACAGGGAGTATTATCATGGTGGCCACACTCGCTTCAACTTTTTATTATCCCATCGATGTATGACGTCATTAAAATGATCGAATCCGCAAACAATCGAATAGCCATATCTTCCCTTCCCATCAATATGGACTCGACTTTGATGGCCTAACGGCCATTATTGATCAGTTTCCAATAATCAATTGTATTTCAATCAACCAGATTATGAGGAAACAGAGATGTGATCAATCATTTATGATCATATCTGAACTATTGATCGGAATTCACATCGCTGAGTTTGGCGAATCGATGAAATGGGTTATCAGCTATAGATTGGTTATCCCTGTCGGAGGAGAACGTTCTGGAAAAAATAAATCAATCATTTATTGATGTGTGTATGGCCGCCATTAGTGTACAGGTGAGATTGTACATTGCTCAGCATTGGTGGTGATGATGGTGGTGACAGGTTCTCTTTGGGGAAAGAGCCATGACTGTGTCGCTATGGTAACCAGTAACAATGGCTGCTGCTGGGGCGGGTGATGCCTGAGGGGGCGGGGCTTTTATTGCCAGACTTGTCTTGCAGTTTCTGTTTACACATCTAGCAGTTTCTATAGCAACCAGAGACGCTGCCTGAGATTTTCTGCAGTGACAACGTCTGGGAAGAGCGAGAGAGAGGTGAGACGAGGGAGACATTACCCCTACACTGTCATCACTTTCCTCCATACAGCCCCATCCATCTCCATTCATATTCCCCACCTACCTCCCTTCACTGCCCCTCGTCCACATTGATTTATAATCCCCCGCTTATCTTCTATTATTACCCCATCCAACCCCATTCATTATCCCCACCTACCTCCCTTTATTATCCCATCCATCCCCATTCATTATCCCACCTACCTCCCTTTATTATCCCACCCATCCCCATTCATTATCCCCACCTACCGCCCTTTATTATCCCATCCATCCCCATTCATTATCCCACCCTACCTCCCTTTATTATCCCATCCATCGCCATACATAATTCCCCACCTACCTCTCTTTATTACCCCATCCATCCCCATTCATAATCCCCACCTACCTCCCTTTATTATCCCACCCATCCCCATTCATTATCCCCACCTACCTCCCTTTATTATCCCACCCATCCCCATTCATTATCCCCACCTACCTCCCTTTTATTACCCCATCCATCCCCATTTATTATCCCCACCTACCTCCCTTTATTACCCCATCCATCCCCGTTCATTATCCCCACCTACCTCCCTTTTATTACCCCTATAACAACCACACTCGTCATCTTCTACCTACAGCATCTCCCTTTACTACCCTCACCCATCCCCATACATTCTCCCCCACCTATCTCCCATTACTAACCAATCATCCCCCTTCATAACCTTTTACCTCTCCACTTATATTACACCATCCATCCCCATTCATAATACCCCACCTGTCTCTCTATGTATTACACCATCCATCCCCATTCATAATACCCCAACTATCTCTATGTATTACACCATCCATCCCCATTCATGTTACCCCACCTATCTCTATGTATTACCCCATCCATCCCCGTTCATGTTACCCCACCTATCTCTATGTATTACACCATCCATCCCCATTCATGTTACCCCACCTATCTCTATGTATTACACCATCCATCCCCATTCATGTTACCCCACCTATCTCTATGTATTACCCCATCCATCCCCATTCATATTACCCCACCTATCTCTATGTATTACCCCATCCATCCCCGTTCATGTTACCCCACCTATCTCTATGTATTACCCCATCCAACCCCATTCATAATACCCCACCTATCTCTATGTATTACACCATCCATCCCCATTCATGTTACCCCACCTATCCTATGTATTACCCCATCCATCCCCGTTCATGTTACCCCATCCTATCCATCCCCGTGTCATGTACCCCACCTATCTCTATGTATTACCCCATCCATCCCCATGTTACCCCACCTATCTCTATGTATTACCCCATTACCCCACCATGTTACCCTATCTCTATGTATTACCCCATCCATCCCCGTTCATGTTACCCCACCTATCTCTATGTATTACCCCATCCATCCCCATTCATGTTACCCCACCTATCTCTATGTATTACCCCATCCATATTCAAATTACCCCACCTATCTCTATGTATTACCCCATCCATCCCCATTCATGTTACCCCACCTATCTCTATGTATTACCCCATCCATCCCCATTCATATTACCCCACCTATCTCTATGTATTACCCCATCCATCCCCATTCATGTTACCCCACCTATCTCTATGTATTACCCCATCCATCCCCATTCATATTACCCCACCTATCTCTATGTATTACCCCATCCATCCCCATTCATGTTACCCCACCTATCTCTATGTATTACCCCATCCATCCCCATTCCCCCACCTATCTCTATGCATTACCCCATCCATCCCCATTCATATTACCCCACCTATCTCTATGTATTACCCCATCCATCCCCATTCATATTACCCCACCTATCTCTATGTATTACCCCATCCATCCCCATTCATGTTACCCCACCTATCTCTATGTATTACACCATCCATCCCCATTCATGTTACCCCACCTATCTCTATGTATTACCCCATCCATCCCCATTCATGTTACCCCACCTATCTCTACCCCATCCATATTCATATTACCCCATCCTCCCCCATTCATGTTACCCCACCTATCTCTATGTATTACCCCATCCATCCCCCCATTCATATTACCCCACCTATCTCTATGTATTACCCCATCCATCCCCATTCATATTACCCCACCTATCTCTATGTATTACCCCATCCATCCCCATTCATGTTACCCCACCTATCTCTATGTATTACCCCATCCATCCCCATTCATGTTACCCCACCTATCTCTATGTATTACCCCATCCATCCCCATTCATATTACCCCACCTATCTCTATGTATTACCCCATCCATCCCCATTCATATTACCCCACCTATCTCTATGTATTACTCCATCCCCATTCATGTATCTCTATGTATTACCCCATCCATCCCCATTCATGTTACCCCACCTATCTCTATGTATTACCCCATCCATCCCCATTCATGTTACCCCACCTATCTCTATGTATTACCCCATCCATCCCCATCCATCATATTAACCCCACCTATCTCTATGTATTACCCCACCTATCTCTATGCATTTCTCACCATCCATCCCCATTCATATTACCCCACCTATCTCTATGTATTACCCCATCCATCCCCATTCATATTACCCCACCTATCTCTATGTATTACCCCATCCATCCCCATTCATGTTACCCCACCTATCTCTATGTATTACCCCATCCATCCCCATTCATATTACCCCACCTATCTCTATGTATTACCCCATCCATCCCCATTCATGTTACCCCACCTATCTCTATGTATTACCCCATCCATCCCCATTCATATTACCCCACCTATCTCTATGTATTACCCCATCCATCCCCATTCATATTATTACCCCACCTATCTCTATCTCCATATTCATGTATTCTCTATGTATTACACCCATCCATCCCCATTCAGATTACCCCCCCTATCTCTATGCATTACCCCATCCATCCCCATTCATATTACCCCACCTATCTCTATGCATTACACCATCCATCCCCATTCAGATTACCCACCTTTCTCTATGCATTACACCATCCATCCCCATTCATCCCCATTCATGTTACCCCACCTATCTCTATGCATTACACCACCCATCCCCATTCATGTTACCCCACCTATCTCTATGTATTACACCATCCATCCCCATTCATATTACCCCACCTATCTCTATGTATTACACCATCCATCCCCATTCATAATTACCCCACCTATCTCTATGTATTACACCATCCATCCCCATTCATAATACCCCACCTATCTACCTTTATTAACCCATCCTTCTCCAATCACAATCACAATCCCCACTGATCTCTCCTTGTTGCCTCCATCCATCTACATTCATTTTCTCCTTCATTTTTCATATTCTGGGTGTCAAATTCAATTTCATTGTGGGCCGCATCAGCATTATGGTTGCCCTCAAAGGGCCAGTTGTATCTGTAAGACTAGATGTCCGGAGCACCCCACCCCATCCTACATCAGAAGTCAAGAGGCCCCCCCCCCCCTTACCTTGTGCTACTGCCAGGAAAAAGTTGGGGGCAGAGCTGGGAAGCTGAAAGTGCAGGATCTGGAGGAGGACCAGAGGAGGGATGGAGTCAGCTGCCATAGGCTGCTGAATTCTGAGACCAGAGCAGGTGGAGATGAGGGGGTGCTGTGGCTGCACAGAGAGGCACATGATCTGTAGGAGGAGTTCTGTCCTCCTCTCTGCTGCCGACTGCTGAGACAAGATGGGGGTGGAGACAAAGGAGTGCCACATCTGCATAGAGAAGCACAGGATCTTATTGAGGAGTTCTGTCCTCCTTTTTGCTGCCAACTGCTGAGATGGGGGAGGGGGGGGGTGCATAGTCAAGCCTCTCCAGTGCTGCACAGAAAAGTGCAGGATCTGGTGGGAGAGTTCTGTCCTCCTTTCTGTTACCGACTGCTGAGACAAGGTAACGGTGGAGACGAAGGGGTGCCACAGCTGCACAGAGAAGTGCAGGATCTTCTTTAGGAGGAGTCCTGTCATCCTCTTTGCTGCCAACTGATGAGATGGGGGGGGGGGGTGCAGAGTTGAGCCTCTCTTCGGCTGCACAGGGATATGCAGGATCTGCAGGATCTGGTGGAGCAGTTCTGTTCTCCTCTCTGCTGCTGACTGCTGAGAAGAGGGGGGCACCGCAGGAGAGGTGCAAGAGCCACATGAAATGCAGTGAGGGCCAGATTCAGCCCGTGGGCCTTGTGTTTGGCAAATGTGTTTTACTCAAACAGTTTTATATATGAGTATTGTTATCTTTATCAGAAAATGTCCGACAACGAGGAAGACGTGTTGGAGGAGGAAGAGCAGGATACTCAGGATCCTGTAGAGGAGGCTGCTGAGGATGCCGAAGCTGGAGAAGAGGAGGACAAGGAAGAAGAAGAGAAGGAAGAAGAAGAGGAGGAGGAGCCAGAGAAAGAGGAGGTGATGTAAAAAATAAACCGGGTGGGATAGTAAGAGAGATGAATCAAATGATCCATGTGCTTTTTTTTAGAATTTATTTCCCTTTGTAATTTTTTTTTTTGTAACTAATTCAAGTCTAAAGCTTAAAGAGGTCTATTTATATTAAATTTGCTGTGTGAATGTCTCAAACTGTCATAAATAATCCCCATAACTGGCCTAATATGTTCATTTTCTATGATCGCAGCTCCATCCAGTGGCCAAAACTCAGCATTTCCCTAAAATATCTCAATCAGGAAAATACCATATTATAGCCACTAGATGGAGCTGACAATTATGGATATTAAGAGTATTAAGCAAATTAGGAGGACTATTCGTGACGGCTGTGTGAATGCTTGAGACAGGTACAACAAATTGTTTTATATACAAGACCCAAAGTGTAAAGGCCAACCTTTTCTTTTCAGTTTTGAAAAGGGTTAAAGCTTCTGTCAGCTGTTCATTGCTTTCCTATAGAAGGACAAACTGTAAAGAAGCCCCTCCCCTTCTGACGCATTTTACCCAATTCATTAATAGCATTATGTGATGCACTACAATTGCAGATTTGTATCTTTACAATTACCTTCACATGTGAGATTTGAAGAGGTTCGGGCATAGACATTTATCTCTGTCACTATCTTCACATGAGATTTGTAGCTGTAGAAATGTCTCCCTTTTCCTGCCCCTTCTCATCTCTAACAATAAGCCCAACGTTGGGTAAAACACGTTAGCTAGAGGTGGGCGGGGCTTTTTTGACATTTGTCTTGGAGCAATAAAGTTTTACAAGTATTGAATGTTACAATGTGCTGCTGGCTGCTTTTTTTTTTTTAATGGGCTGACAGTTCAGGGAGAAGATGAGCTTCTGCTTGGCATCTGTACCTTGAAGGTGTGCTCCTCTATATAGGAATTAGAAACAATAGGAATATTTTACTCATTAGATTTTTTTTTTTGTTGTCTGTGTACCCATTGGAGGGTTTTTTCTCACTTCCTGTGCTGGTGACAACATGGGATCTGGGACAGGAAGTGGGGGGGGGGGGGGGCTTCCGAATAGGGACACAGCATTAAAGGCAGATAAAGGTTCTACCCTTTACCCATATGGTGATGTGCTTAACATCATGGCTGCTAACAAGTGCCTATAAATGAACATTTTCATTACATATTTCCAGCCACCACCCCACATGCCGCTCACTGAAGAAATGCTGAAGGAAGGACTGTCCCTTCTATGTAAGACAGGAAATGGTCTTGCTCATGCATTCGTCAAGCTGGAAGTTAAAGATAAGTAAGTTCCTGCAGAAAAATAATAGTCACTGTAAGTTCTCACCAAGTTCTCACCATTCTCACAACCAAAGTAGATCTCATTTAGGAAAATGATGGCTAGAGAGAATTTGACTTTGTAGTTTCAAACTGAACTCCAGCTTTGCTATCGCTTGAAATAGTTCGTTCGGGCCAAGATGGCCTAAATGAACTGTTTCCTTTACTAATTGCTGCTCCCGCTGTGCTCCAAAAGGTTCTATCCCCTTCATTGCTATTCGGCACTGCGCTACTGTAACTGACGCTGTACCCAAATTAAATTTATATCATTTTTTTTTCACACAATTAAAGCTTTCTTTGGGTGGTATTTGATCACCACTGGTTTTCTTTTATTATTATTATATAAGTGAAAAAAGACCATAAATTTGGAAAAAAAAACATATTATTTTCAAAATCAAATTTATTCATACGTTTAGGCCGAAATGTATTCTGCAAAATGTCTTTGGTAAAAAACAAAAATCCCAAAAAGTGTATATTAATTGGTTTGTGTGAAAGTCATAGTGTCTACAAACGTTGGTATATATATATATATAATATATATATATATATATATATAAAGTAGAATTTTTATTTATCTTTTTATAATAGTAATGGCGGCAATCAGCGATTTATAGTGCGACTGTGATAGTGTAGCAAGCAATCTGGCGCATAATTGACATTTTGTGAGAATTGACTAACTGCCACTGACATCACCAGTGACACTAAGACAGTGATCAGTGATAATACTGGACACTGTCACTCTTCTAATAACAATGGCTGGGAACAGGTTAACATCTAAAGGCAATCAAGGGGTTAATTGTGTGCCTAACAATGGCACTGCGTTGCTATAACTGACGCTGTACCCAAATGAAATTTATATAATTTTTTTCACACATATAAAGCTTTCTTTTGGTGGTATTTGATCACCATTGAGTTTTTTTATTTTTTATTATATAAGCGAAAAAAGACCATAAATTTGGAAAAAAAAAAAAAAATTTTTTTTTTAAAAATCAAAATTATCAATAAATTTAGGGCAAAATGTATTCTGCTAAATGTATTTGGTAAAAAAAAAAAAAAAAAAAAGTCTATATTGATTGGTTTGTGTGAAAGTCATAGCGTCTACAAACAATTATATATATATATATATATGTATATACTAGAATTTTTAGTTATATCTTTTATACTAGCAGTGGCGGCAATCAGTGATTTATAGTGCGGCTGGCAATCTGACACATAATTGACATTTTGTGTGAATTGACTGCCACTGACACCACCAGTGACACTAATACAGTGATCAGTGCTAATACTGGACACTGTCGCTCTACTAATGACACTGGCTGGGAATAGGTTAAGATGTAAAGGCAATCAAGGGGTTAATTGTGTGCCTAACAATGTGTTAATGTGGGTACTGCATGCTGCTTTTCACTAAACACCAATTTGTTTCTGTTCCCTGCTTAGCAGGGAAAAGAAACAAAGCAATTGCTCCCTCTGTAGAGAGCCCTGTGTTGTTTATCAACACAGAGATCTAGGCTGTGATTTGACATGGCCGATTAGCATGTCCATGTCATGAATCATTGACTGGGATCTGTTGACAAACTCCTGCTGTGTCAAATCCCAGGGGAGTAGGTGGGTTGGAACGCATGCATGTACCCAAAATCCAAACACAGGCAGTGATGTGCCAGTACGTCCGCTGCAGTACATGTACTGTGGCGGGTCAGTAAGCGGTTATAAACTGCATACAGCATCAGCTACATACAACATACAGTACTGTGTCCTGGCAGTGGTACGAGGGCTTCCCATCCCATTCCTGGAATGAAATTGAGTTGGGCTGCTGACTTTATACAGCCCTGACAGCGGGAGCAGTAATTAGTAAAGTTCATTTGGTCCAGCTTGGCCCGAACTAACAATTTAAAGTGAAAGCAAAGCTGGAGTTAGGCTTTAAAGAAACCCTGTCCTTTGTAAGAAGGGGTACTTAGAGGGGTACATACCTCACACTTGATACATGCTCTCGCCATATAAAGGCTGATCACAAGAGAGGGAAAAATAACGTGTTCCGTAACAAGCTCTTCCCGCAATCACAGAAGTGTGTCATTCTCTGGTCTCTATATTGTATGGGATAAACTCAAAAGGTCTATTTATTTATTAGAGGAATTTATATACCGCAGATAATTCACATCAGTCCCTCCCCCGAGGAGCTTACAATCTAAGGTACATACACTATATTGCCAAAAGTATTGGGCCAGCCCTCCCAATTATTGGATTCAGGTATTTATATTGTAAAGCGCTGAGCAAACTGTTGGCGCTATATAACTCCTGTATAATAATAATAATCATATAAATCCCCTCCCAATCATGTGATTCAGGTGCTCCAATCCCCTCCCAATCATGTGATTCAGGTGTTCCAATCCCCTCCATGGACACAGGTGTATAGAATCATCCCCTAGGCATGCAGACAGCTTCTACAAACATTGGTGAAAGAATGGGTCGCTCTCAGGAGCTCAGTGACTCCAAGCGTGGTCCCGTGATAGGTGGTCACCTGTGCAATAAGTCCATCCGTGACATTTCCTGGCTACTAAATATTCCACGCTCAACTGTTAGTGGGATTATAACAAAGTGGAAGCAACTGAGAACAGCAGCCACTCAGCCACCAAGAAGTAGGCCACGTCACATGACAGGGCGGGGTCAGCGCATGCTGAAGCGCACAGTGCGCAGAAGTCACCAACTGTCTGCAGAGTCAATAGCTAAAGACCTCCAAACTTGGTGTGGCCTTCAGATGAGCCCAAAAACAGTGTGTAGAGAGCTTCATGGAATGGGTTTCCATGGCCGAGCAGCGGCATCCAAGCCTTCCATCACCAAGTGCAATGCAAAGCCTCTGATGCCGTGGTGTAAAGCACGCCGCCACTGGACTCTAGAGCAGTGGAGACGTGTTCTTTGGAGTGACCAATCACACTTCTCTGTCCGGCAATCTGATGGACGTGTCTGGATTTGCCGATTGCCAGGACAAACGGTACTTGCCTGACTGTATTGTGACAAGTGTAAAGTTTGGTAGAGGGAGGATTATGGTGTGGGGCTGTTTTTCAGGGGTTGGGCTTGGCCCCCTACTTCCAGTAAAGGCGTCAGCATACCAAGGCATTTTGGACAATTTTATGCTCCCAACTTTGTGGGAAGAGTTTGGCCCCTTCCTGTTCCAACATGACTGCGCACCAGTGCACAAAAGCAAGGTCCATAAAGACATGGAGGAGCCAGTTTGGGGTGGAGGAACTTGACTGGCCTGCACAGAGTCCTGACCTCAACCCCATAGAACACCTTTGGGATGAATTAGAGCGGAGACTGCGAGCCAGGCCTCCTCCCCCGACATCAGTGCCTGACCTGACAAATGTGCTTCTGGAAGAATGGTCCAACCTTCCCATAGACACCCTCCTAAACCTTGTGGACGGCCTTCCCAGAAGAGGTGAAGCTGTTATAGCTGCAAAGGGCGGGGCCAACTCAATATTGAACCCTACGGACTAAGACTGGGGGGGCCATTAAAGGTCATGTGTGTGGGAAGGGCGGGGCCAACTCAATATTGAACCCTACAGACTAAGAGTGGGAGGCCATTACAGGTCATGTGTGTGGAAAGGCAGGTGGCCCAATACTTTTGGCAATATAGTGTATCTCGCATACTAAGACCAATTTACCTACTAGCCTGCTTTTGGGTGTTGGAGAAAACCCAAGCAAGCACAGGGAGAACATGCAAACTCCATGCAGCTAGTGTCCTGGTCGGAATCCAGTGCTATAAGGAAGATGTGCTAACCACTAAGCCACTGTGTAGCTCATTGCTGACAGATACACTCTGTAATCACTCTTAATGGGTTCGTTCACCTTTAATGACTTTTGCCAAAAAACGTCATTATGCATTACAACATTCTCATCGATGTGATAGGTGGGGCTCCATTTTGTGGAAGAAAGTTCACTTTTTAAGCTGCTTATTCCATTGCCCTTCCCTCTCCATCCTGCATATGTTGGATGTGTGACCCCCCTGAAAAGTCACGAATGAGCGCCTGGCTTTGTTCCCTACCCATGCATACGCAGTCCGCTCTCTTTCATTCTCGCAGAACACTAAACAGTGAGAGTGCGGACTGCACGTGCGTGGGTAGGGAATGAACCTGAGGGCTGGCTCATGAGTTTGAGGTTCCAAGGCCACGCATCCAAGCCATTAAAGGTGAACTACCCCTTTAATACCCAATTGTACTTTAATTTTTCTTTTTTAAATGGTAGCCCAGAAATAAAAAAAAAAAAGAGCATCCCTCTCTGAAATACTCACCTTCTCTCTGGCACCATCCCCTGCAGACCTATAGGTCACTGCCGGTCCTCTTTTGGGTTGATGACACCCGGTGTCATTCAGACTACGTCCTGTGAGTGTAGGGCATCATGGGTCCCCCCCCTCCCCCCATCACTAATGCACCCTGCACCCAGTGCAACAAATTCAGAGCACGGCATTCTGCAGGACTGAGGACTGCTCAGTGATAGAAAAGAAGTGAAGAGGACCCTGCACATCACATGACAAGCAAAATTACATCTGAGTAAAGGTAAGTATACAATCAAATTGTGTTTGTGTCTGGGGGGGGGGGGGGTATAAGGCTAACAACTATAGGGGGAGGTTAAATTTGGGCTTTAGAACCCATTCAGTCCTATGCATTGGTGCATATGCACAAAGGGCTGTTTCACAATGGCAGCTGGAGGGGGCAGTAATTACAAGCAGCTGAGTGGCAGTTTTACCATCACCCAGAATGATACCATTATAGCCCGACAGGAAGAAAAGAACCACAAATACAGCATTTTTTAACTTGGGCTGAGGGGTTTGACTGGTGGCGATGCCCATTGAGGGGTCTCAACATTCAGCTCGCAGTTGCAGCACGGTCCTGTAATGTAAACTTGATGATCAGCAATTTTAAAAAAAAGTATGTTTGAGGTGATTGTAGCCGTATTAGTGCATTTGCGACAGAAACAATTGAGTACTGTCTGTGATACTTTTTTTATTTGCACTAACATACAATTTTGAGGACAAGCTTTTGGGGAATGTCCCCTTCTTCAAGGTCTAAGCAGTACTACTCACAAAGTTAGCAGAATAAAAAAAATAATAAAAAAAAAAATTAAAAATAAAAAAAAAGTAAAAAGAAAACAGGTGTCAGGAGGAAGCAGTAGCGCCCCCCAAACGCCTGCCAGCAGCTGCTATACAGTCCTTAAAAAACAATCCACCATGGCTATGGTAAATATTACCACCAGTGTGAAAGAGCACTTACTGCAATCTGGTGCACTGTGGGGCCTTTCATTTTGAATGGAACCCCAACACACCTTCAGTTCACCTGCATTGCAGCTCATAACTCATGGAAACAGGATGGATGGGGAATGGGCCCCAAATCATGGTGGACCTGTACTATTGCTCAACCCTTGGTTTACTTCTGTACACCTCAACTTTTCTCTGAAAAAATATGGTATACGGACTCAGCTATGTTAACCATTTATCCTAATTTAGACCTTTTCTGAGTCCACCAATCAAATTAACTCTTGCTTTTTCCCCGCTATCACTTTCCACATCAAGTCTGAATGTAATTGGTGGGAAAAGGACAACAAACAGGACTTGTTGCAGCAAATAAATATAAAGAATGGACTTGCTGGCCCCGAATGTGACTTTCCTTTACCTTTCACTCTTACAGAGAGATCACAGACATCTCCATCCTGCAATCGTTTATACATTTGCGCTATGTGGATCTCTCCCAGAATGCTCTGCAGGATCTCTCGTCTCTGAGCGCTCTCACCCATCTCCTGAGCCTACGTGTAGACCAGAACAAGCTGGTTAGTGCCAACGGCCTGGGAGAACTACCCTACTTACAAATAGCCAGCCTGGCGTCCAACAACCTACAGACCCTCCAGGGGCTTTCCCACCCGCGACTGGAGTCCCTCAACCTTATGGGTGAGTAATGGTCACACAATAGGAGCTGCTTTGCTGGGGTCCTACAATTGTCATGTATGATTTCAGTACAAGGATTAGTTTTGGTATCAGCCTCTTCCACCCCCCTATACTTCAGCACTAACAATGAGAGGGAGGGGAAGGACAGGAAGCCAATAGGAGGAACCAGTTGGTTAGTGCCAACGGACTGGGAGAACTACCCTACCTAGAAATAGCAAGCCTGACATCCAACACCCTTCAGAACCTCCAGGGACTTTCCCACCCGCAGTTGGAGTCCCTCAACCCTATGGGTGAGTGATGGTCATACCAAAGGAGATGCTCTGCTGGGGTGTCTCAACTGCTGGTCCTACAAATTGTCATGTAGTAGAGGAATTTGTTTTGGTATCAGCCTCTTGCACCCCCCCTTTACTTCAGCACTAACAATGAAAGGGAGGTGCAGGACAGGAAGCCAATAGAAGGAATCAGTTGGTTAGTGCCAACATCTTGGAAGAACTACCCTAACTACAAATAGCAAGCCTGGCATCCAACAACCTAGAGAACCTCCAGGGGCTTTCCCACCCGAGGCTGGAGTCCTTCAACCCTATAAGTGAGTGATGGTCACACTAACGGAACCACTCTACTGGGGTGTCTCAGCTGCTGGTCCTACAAAAAATGTCATGTATGATAAGAGTACCGGAACTGGACTTTGTATCAACCTCTTGCACCCCCCCCTTCCCTATACATCAGCACTAACAATGAGAGGGATGGGCAGGACTGGGAGGAATGGGCAAAGTGATCAGAAGGTTGACCTCTCTAGTCTTCTGCTGCTCTTTCACTTTATAGTCCGAACGATGGACTGGAGAGAGGATACCATTGTATTTCTTAACTGTAAGTGGTATCATCCACCTGGCTTGGCTGTGTGAGGGGGTTGTGTAAATCTCAGGACTGGATGGACAGAAATAACTTTCCTTTGGCAGGTAAAATAGCTGTGTACCAAGAAGAACCATTTATATATAAGCTATGCAGGGTGGTTGCTCCCCGTTTGGTGGGGGAGCCTTTAAGCCCCTAAACTAGATTTTGCTGTATGCACTGCATAATGGAACCTAAGGTCCACTCATGACTTGAATTCCTACTATCAGCTCTACATATCAGGACGTTTGGCAACTCATGCAAAGGCAAGTGCTTTATTGAAGCTGTCAGCTTTGGCTGCCTTGGATCCCCCATTATGTCCCCATTCAATTTCCTGGCTCACCTGCCATAGCTATCCTGGTTCCAGCAGCCAATCACTGAGGTCCTAGTTGTGGGGGCTATTAGGATCCCGTTTTGGAGCTAGTCAAGAGATTCCGCACTTGGGGACCTGGTCTGTAGAGCTCACTGAAGAGCATCCATCGGATACTGGAAGGAGGCATCTGGAGATCCTGAGTTATTGTGAGTACTGACCTAAACCCAGGTTGTTATTGCCGCATTCCTCTGGATGGACAAGCCTACAGAATTCTTGGACGGGTTAGCTTCCAAAGAGAGGGCTTAGTGACGCTTTCTGTACTTGATATATAGACTACTCACAGAGACTGGGTAAAGTGAAGTGGAGTGTCCCGTACCACCTCTCCGTCACCCCAAGTTCTTTAAAAAATAATCAAAATCCAAAAAAGACCAACGTTAGACTGATTATTGAGTCGAAGAGAGTGCTGTGTGCCTGACTGCCTCTGCACTGATTGTAGGGAAGATCCGGGTGCATTACAGTGGCTCCTGCAAGGGCAGCTCAAACGCAAAAAGTTTTTTTTATATGATATATTGTATGAGTTGTTCATAAGTCAATTTGCACCTTAAAGGTCCCCTGTGCATATATGTAAATTGCTCTTCTTTGTACACAATGGAACACGGGTGGCCAAGTTTCTTGCTGTAGGGGGCCTCAAGTGCAGACCCCTGACATTAGCAAAGGGCCACACATAATATTCAGTGATGGCAGACACACAACAGGATATGGTCAGAGACTACAAGCATTTTACAGGAGATGGTCAGAGACATTGGGCGTGCTACAAGATATAGAGTCTGCAGACCTACTAAAGAGATTTGTTGAGAGACTAGGGAAATAATTCAAGATTCCTAGATTGGAGACACAAAGTAATGGCTTCAGGGGCCCAGAGGGTTGCACAAGTAGTGCCAAAAGCCACATATTGGGCACCAGAGCTATGGATTGACTGGGATGAGGTTCTTAGACAAATCACCAGTATTTACATAATACATTTGGGTTTTTTTTGCCCGGAGTTCAGCTTTAAATACCTGTTTCAGTTTTGGGTGGAGACAAATTGTTAAATGCTGTAAGCAATTTGGAATTGAGTGTTGATTAGTCCTGGTTCACACCTGAGCAAAGTTCAGCACTTTTCTAGAAAAGCTCCAAACACTCAACACGTAGGTTCCCCTTGTATCCTATGGTTCTCATTCACACATGAGCGCCATGTCTCTTGTCGCTCAAAGTGGGAGAGGGAGCTCCTGAAAAATGCTGACTCTCCTTCTCCTAGTAACAAGCATTCCATTGGCCAAAACAAAAATGCTCAAGCCTGAAAATGCCTGCTAACAAAAAACACTGGAAGAACATTTGGGGGGGGGGGGGGGTCTATGTATAAAGACATTCACATGGGCACCACACATGTTTGCCATCTTGTTTGTAATATAACTATCACCTATGATCATCAGCTCCATCTAGTGGTCATAATGCAGTATTTCTTTTGATAGAGTTATTTTAGAAAAATGCCTCTTTATGGCCATTAAATGGAGCTGATGGTCATAGTTGATAATTACAGTATCTTGAGCTCAGGTGTGAACCTTAAAAACGAGAACTAACATCTCTTATGTTCTTGCCTACTTACCCTCCTGACTTAACTGTGTCTCAACAGGGAATAAACTACGTACATTGGAGAGTCTCAACTGCATTAAACTATACAGTCTGCACACTCTGGAATTACGAGCCAATCAGCTGCAGAGCACAACCGGACTTTACCTTCCAAACCTGCGGAACCTATACCTGGTGAGTTAAGGAACAGATATCTGATTGCCACCAAAAAACAAACAGGTGTGCTAAAGTCTGAATGTACCAATGGAAGTAGACTGGAGAGCACCAGTCAAGTTCCAGAATGAATCAGGAATATAGGTCATGTGACAGCCCGGTGGTGTGCCTGCTAACTGAACTATCCAGGCCTCGCCTGGAGAGCCAAACTGTGCAGTGACAATGCGACTGTTGTGTTTCAAGGCTCTGCCTTTTCCACAAGGATGGAGCTCTGAAACATGTTGGTGGCAACGTCTGTTACTAATTGTTCATTTTCAGGTTTTATATTCCTCTCCTATATATGTACACTATTTGGCCGAAAGGTTGGGGGCACTGGACCATAACACTTAGCTATTGCACAAAGCCAAATGTTTGAAGGACACCTCTCCTTATTGAGTCACTGGTTTGGGGACTGGACCATCACACCTACTTATTGGGGACACTGGACCATCACACCTACCTATTGCACAAGGCCAAATGTTTAAAAGACACCCGTGATTGAGTGACTGGTTTTGGGACTGGACCATCACACCTACCTACTGAGGACAATGGACCATCACACCTACCTTTTGGACAAGGCCAAATGTTTGAAGTACACCCCTCCTTATTGAATTACTGGTTTGGAGACACTGTACCATCACACCTACCTAATGAAGACACTAGACCATCACACCTACCTATTGCATAAGATCAAATGTGTGAAGGACACCCATCCTTATTGAGTCACTGGTTTGGGGACACTGGACCATCACACCTACCTATTGCACAAGGCCAAATGTTTAAAGGACACCCCTCCTTATTGAGCCACTTGTTTGGGGACACTGGACCATCACACCTACCTATTGAGGACACTGGACCAGCACACCTACCTATTGCACAAGGACAAATGTTTAAGGACACCTCTCCTTATTAGTTACTTGTGTGGGGACACTGGACCATCACACCTACCTATTGGGTACACTGGGTCATTACAACCACCTATTAAAGACAATAGACATCACACCTACCTATTGCACAAGGCCAGATGTTTGAAAGACACCCATCCTTATTGAATCATAGGTTTGGGGACACTGGACCATCACACCTACTTGTTGGGGACACTGGACCATCACACCTACTTGTTGGGGACACTGGACCATCACACCTACCTATTGCACAAGGCCAAATGTTTGACAGACACCCCTCCTTTTTGAGAAACTAGTTTGGGGACACTGGGCCATCACACCTACCTATTGGGGACACTGGGCCATCACGCCAACCTATTGAAGACTCTAGACCATCACACCAACCTATTGAAGACACTAGACCATCACACCTACTTATTGCACAAAGCCATATGTTTGAAAGACACCCATCCTCATTGAATCACAGGTTTGGGAACACTGGACCATCACACCTACGTGTTGGGGACACTGGACTATTATACCTACCTGTTGGGGACACTGGACCATCACACCTACCTATTGCACAAAGTCAAATGTTTGAACAACACCCATCCTTATTGAGTCACTGGTTTGGGGACAATTATACTATCACACCTACTTAGTACACAAGGCCAAATGCTGGAAGGACACATCTCCTTATAGAGTTCAGATGTCTCCAATGAAAGTACTGTTAATGCTACAGCATACAAAGACTTTTTGGACCTTGTAGTAAATGTTCAGTGAAGGTCCTTTTCTGTTCCAACCTGACTGTACAAAGCCTACTGTATAAAGACATGATTTGATAAATTTGGCATTGAGGAACTCAAGTGACCTTCACAGAGCCCTGACCTCAACTCCACTGAACACCTTTGGGAATTGAAATGCCGATTGTGATTCAGGTCTTCCCACCTAACATCAGTACCTGACCTCACAAATGCTCTTTTGGCTCAGAGGACACAAGTTTCCCCATGCTCACTCCAAGATCTTGTGGAAAGCCTTCCCAGAAGAGTGGAGGCTGTTGTAACCAGGCCAACTCCATAACAATGGCACTGGTTTTAAAATGGGATGTTCAATAGGCATACATACTGTAGGTATGATGGTCAGGTCACTTTTGGCCATAAAGTGTGTATTTTTTTTTTAGTTTGCAAGCTCAAAGAATAAACCTATGGGGCAAAATTTTGTGGACACCTGACCATCATACCTTTGTATCCCTATTGAATATCCCATTACATCACTCTATTTGGCCCATGGTTTGGGGACACTGGACCATCACACCTACCAACTGCACAAGGCCAAACCTCCAATAAGGACACCCCTCCTTATTGGATCCAGGTGTCTCCAATGAAGGGTAGTGTTAATGCTGCAGCGTACAAAGACGTTGTGGACCTTGTAGTAAGAGTTCGGTGAAGGTCCTTCTCTGTTCTGTCATGACTGTATAAAGCAAATTCTATAACGACATGGTATGATACATTTGGCGTTGAGAGACTCGGGTGATCTTCACAGAGCCCTGGCCTCAACCCTACTGAACACCTTTGAGAATTGTAATGCCGATAGTGAGCCAGGCCTTCCCATCTAACATCAGTATCTGACCTCACATATGCTCTTTTAGCTCAGTGGATACAAGTTTCTCCAGACACACTCCAAGATCTTGTAGAAAGCCTTCCCAGAAGAGTGAAGGCTGTTTTAGCCACATATGGAGGCCAACTCCATAACAATGGCCATTGTTTCTAAATGGGATGTTCAATTGGCATACATAGCTGTGATGGACAAAATTTATTTTTTTTGAGCTTGCAGGTTCAAAGAATAAACATTATAGCCAAAAGTATGGGGACACCTGACCACCACACCTACAGTATGTATGCCTATTGATCCCATTACATCGCAGTCTTATGATAATTTGGTTTGTGACCTTCCCACTCCAGGGGGATTTTGAATCTCCGGAGACCTGCAGAGTTAATAGAATGCTTTAATTCATCCCAAAATCTGACTGTATATCTTAACATACTGCATGGGGATTATATTGTGATGTCAGCTTGTTATATCCTGCCTCCGCCCTCCCCTTCAGTCTTGCGCAGTTGTACCAGTTCCTCTCCTTTACTGAAATTGCTCACTCTGATTTCACTGCACACTGTGTGCTTCTCTGCAGCAAGTCAGATAGACCCAGCCTCATTTCCTGGCTTGATGACATCCAACATCATCTAACTTTTTCCTCCCCAGCCTGACCATCCCTGACCCACCCCTTTCTTTTATTGAATTTCAGCTTTTTTTCTATCATGAAAGCACGGCATCACATGTGGGTGTTACCTATGCAAATACAACCTGTTTAGGAACACCCACTCCTCCACACTGATACCTACCCATCAAGGCATTTTGTTATTTGCATAACTCCTCCCAAGAGACAGCCCACTGCTTACATCAGGTCTGGGGGCTTCTAAGAGGAGTATTGAAGCATGGATGCTGTGATGTTTGCAGGAAGCTATATACAGCACCTTACCATCCCCTCCCACTAGCTATGACCTGCCTGCATTGCATAGAGAAGCACAGAGACCAAGTGATGACATCACTAGGACTAAGAAAAGTATGAAATTAAAATGCATAAAGGAGAGGAAGCTATATTACTGTGCAAGCCCAAGGAGAAGGAAGGAGTTTGAATGAATGTATCATTGGAAGTGTACAAGAATCATTGTCTGCAAGTCCAATGTCTTGTGGGTTCATGGAGGGCTTTAAATTTTGGTTATCCTCAGGCACAGAATAATATAAAGTCATTGGAAGGATTGGAGCACCTTGTCAGTCTCACCAGCCTTCATCTGAGAGACAACCAGCTGGCGACCCTGGACGGCTTCTCAGAGAAAATGCAAGCTCTTCAGTACCTGAACCTCCGGTATGAATATCACTTCCACTAGGACATAATTCTCACAGCTGTCCCCGGCAGGTACAGAGGCTTCCTTGCTATCCATAACTATTCTTAATAATGTCCCCCCCTTCTTCCACCTATCCTGCCTACCCTATGTAAAAAAAAATCTGTATACTTACATTGTTTCAGCCTGCTCCGGTCCAGTCACGATTCTGCAGTTCCAGCTCGGTCACATGATTCTGCAGTTCCAGCTCGGTCACATGATCCTGCAGTTCCAGCTTCCCTGTGTCAAAGAACGGCAGCTGCAGGGGAGAGGAGCAAGCGCTCGACAACACCTAGAACTTCTAGGAGCAAAGACATCACCTATTAGCTTCTATGTGTTGTTGAGTGCTCCCTCTCCCCCGCAGAGGCTACTGACTGACACAGGGGAGCTGGAGCTGCAGGATCATGTGACCGGACCAGAGCAGACTGAAAAAAAGTATACAGATCTATTTTACATAGGGTAGGCAGTGTAGGTTGGAGGAGGGGGGAGGGGACATTTTTAAGAATAGTTAGTGTTAGGCAGGAATTTCACTTTAAGGGCTGCTGGGGGGAAGGGGGCAGTAAAAACTGGTGGCTTCACCAACCCCAGGCCGCCCCATTAACATTACAGCTGGCCAGGACTGTTCACATGCCACAGCTGTGACAATCTTAAAGCAGCCTGCAGAGATTGACAGGCGGCTCTGCCTGTCAAACTCATCTATTGAGGTCAATAGGAGTGCGCTGCAACTGCAAGTCGAGTATTCAGCACACTCCTATTGACCTCGATAGGTGAGGTGCAATTTTTAAATACTAGATCCTCCTTTGCATTAAAGAAAAAACATTCAGAAGAAAACAGGACCACTACCTGATCACTTGTCAGCCTCTACAGCCCTATGAAGTGATCCTGCATGGATTGCTTTTCAGAGGTTGGTAGGTTCTGTCACCATTGTGAAAGCGCCCCTAACATGTTATTTTTTTTGCTGTGTGTGTCCTGCTGGGGAGATCTACCTTCACTTCCTGTCTTGGAGATAATGGTGTGTGTAAAAAGCACTTTTACTTTCTTGATCATCCCCTGCCCCAGTATTTGGCACTCTCCGATACTTCACTACATGTTAGCAGTGGTCTGTCCTTTGGCATCCTCACATCCAATGTAAGGCTATGTGTTATGCATTGGTCTTGATGATGTCAGAGAACATCCAACCACCAGAGCAGGGGCAGAAGAGACTGCAGCTGGTTACAGCCTGGAGGAGCCTGCGGGAATGGAGGATTAATAAAGTAAAAGTCCTAAAAGAGCACTTGACCCTTGCAGTGCAGGGGGCAGCCCCCACTACAAGGAAGCATTTTTCCTTTCCTCGGAGTTCAGCTTTAACACTGAATATAATTCCATTTATACTGATCCTCATCAAATCTGACCTTCAATCGTTCCTTCTGCAGAGGTAATCTGGTGCCCAAGTTACAAGAAGTAGAGAAGCTAAAAGTTCTCCCCATGCTGCGAGCGCTGGTTCTGAGGGAGAACCCAGTTGAGGAGGAGGATGGTTACCGTCTGGAAACTCTCATTGCTTTGCCGAACCTGGAGAGGCTTGATAAAGATTTCTTCGAGGAGGAAGAACGAACAGAAGCTGCAGAGACCAGGCAGAGCCGGCTGGAGGACGGACTAAATATATAATGGGGGGACAGCAGATGAGATCAGGGTGGCAGATAAGGAATGCAGGAGGCCTCTAGTCCTTCTATGTGTGTGGGTGAATAATACATTATTGCTTAACCATCTGAGGATCTTGAGATATGTCCTAAAACTTCAATAAGGTTTCTAGGCCGTATCTCTTACGCCTAGCTCCTCTCCTCCTGCCAAGACCAGGAAGACCCGGCTGGAGGACAGACTAAATATATAACAGAGGATAGTGGATGAGATCGGGGTGGGAGATCAGGGATGAGACCTCTATTCTTTGTATGTGTGCTGGTGAATGATACATTATCACTTAACCATCTGAGGATTTTGAACGTAAGAGAAAAGTCCTAAAACTTCAATAAGGTTTCTAGGATGTATCTCTTACATCCAGCTCCTCTGCCCCTGCCAAGACCAGGAAGACCCGGCTGGAGGACAGAATAAATATATGACAGAAGATACTGGATGAGATTGGGGTTGGAGATAAGGGATGAGACCTCTAGTCTTTGTATGTGTGCTGGTGAATGATACATTATCACTTAACCAGCTGAGGATTTTGAACGTAAGAGAAAAGTCCTAAAACTTCAATAAGGTTTCTAGGATGTATCTCTTACATCCAGCTCCTCTGCCCCTGCCAAGACCAGGAAGACCCGGCTGGAGGACAGAATAAATATATGACAGAAGATACTGGATGAGATTGGGGTGGGAGATAAGGGCTCAGAGTTCTAGTCTTTGTATGTGAACGGGTGAACAATACATTATTGCTTAACCATGTTAGGATTTTGAACATAAGAGATACATTATAAAAATTCACGAGGCTTTCAGTACGTATCTCTTACGTCCAGCGCCTCGCCTCCTACCAAGACCAGGAAGACCTGACTGGAGGACAAACCTAGTATATAACATGGGATAGTGGATGAGATTGGGGTGGGAGATAAGGGATGATACATTTCATGTTCAAAATCCTCAGCTGGTTAAGCAATAGAGATACGTCCTAAAAGTTCAGTAAGGTTTCTAGGACATATCTCTTACATCCAGCTCCTCTGCCCCTGCCAAGACCAGGAAGACCCAGCTGGAGGACGGACTAAATATATAACAGAAGATACCGGATGAGATCGGGGTGGGAGATAAGGGATCAGACTTCTAGTCTTTCTATGTCAGTGGATGAACAATACATTATTGCTTAACCATGTTAGGATTTTGAACGTAAGAGATACATTATAAATATTCAATGAGGCTTCTAGTACATATCTCTTACGTTCAGCTCCTCTCCCCCTGCCAAGACCAGGAAGACCTGACTGGAGGACAGACCTAGTATATAACAGGGGACAGTGGATGAGATGGGGGTGGGAGATAAGGTTTGAGACCTCTAGTCTTTGCATATGTGTGGGTGAATGATACATTATTACTTAACCTGAGGATTTTGAACATGAGATACGTCCTAAAAGTTCAATAAGGTTTCTAGGCCGTATCTCTTACATCCAGCTCCTCTGCCCCTGCCAAGACCAGGAAGACCCGGCTGGAGGATGGACTAAATATATAACAGAGGATAGCGGATAAAATTGGGGTTGGAGATAAGAGATGAGACCTCTAGTCTTTGTATGTGAGCGGGTGAATGGTACATTTTTGCTTAACCAGCTGAGGATTTTGAACGGAAGGGATACATCCTAAAACTCCAATAGCGTTTCTAGTTAGTATCTCCTATGTCCAGCTCCTCTCCCCATACAAAGCCCAGGAAGACCCGGCTGGAGGACAGAATAAATATATAATAGAAGATACTGGATGAGAATGGGGTGGGAGATAAGGGCTCAGAGTTTTAGTATTTGTATGCGAGTGGGTGAACAATACATTATTGCTTAACCATGTTAGGATTTTGAGCTTAAGAGATACATTATAAAAATTCAATGAGACTTCTAGTACGTATCTCTTACGTCCAGCGCCTCTCCCCCTGCCAAGACCAGGAAGACCTGACTGGAGGACAAACCTAGTATATAACAGGGGATAGTGGATGAGATCGGGGTGGGAGATAAGGGATGATACATTATTGCTTAACCACTTGAGGATTTTGAACATGAGATACGTCCTAACAGTTCAATAAGGTTTCTAGGACGTATCTCTTACATCCAGCTCCTCTGCCCCTGCCAAGACCAGGAAGACCCAGCTGGAGGACGGACTAAATATATAACAGAAGATACCAGATGAGATCGGGGTGGGAGATAAGGGATCAGACTTCTAGTCTTTGCAAGTGGGTGAACAATACATTATTGCTTAACCATGTTAGGATTTTGAACGTAAGAGATACATTATAAAAATTCAATGAGGCTTCTAGTACTTATCTCTTAAGTCCAGCTCCTCTCCCCCCTGCCAAGACCAGGAAGACCTGACTGGAGGACAAACCTAGTATATAACAGGGGATAGTGGATGAGATCGCGGTGGGAGATAAGGTCTGAGACCTCTAGTCTTTGTATATGTGTGGGTGAATGATACATTATTACTTAACCAGCTGAGGATTTTGAACATGAGATACGTCCTAAAAGTTCAGTAAGGTTTCTAGGACGTATCTCTTACATCCAGCTCCTCTGCCCCTGCCAAGACCAGGAAGACCCGGCTGGAGGATGGACTAAATATGTAACAGAGGATAGCGGATAAAATTGGGGTTGGAGATAAGGGATGAGTCTTTGTATGTGAGCGGGTGAATGGTACATTTTGCTTAACCAGCTGAGGATTTTGAACGGAAGCGATACGTCCTAAAACTCCAATAGCGTTTCTAGGATGTATCTCCTATGTCCAGCTCCTCTCCCCATACAAAGACCAGGAAGACCCGGCTGGAGGACAGAATAAATATATAACAGAAGATACCGGATGAGAATAGGGGGGGAGATAAGGGCTCAGAGTTCTAGTCTTTGTATGTGAGTTGGTGAACAATACATTATTGCTTAACCATGTTAGGATTTTTAACTTAAGAGATACATTATAAAAATTCAATGAGACTTCTAGTACGTATCTCTTACGTCCAGCTCCTCCCCCCCTGCCAAGACCAGGAAGACCTGACTGGAGGACAAACCTAGTATATAACAGGGGATAGTGGATGAGATCGGGGTGGGAGATAAGGGATGATACATTATTGCTTAACCAGCTGAGGATTTTGAACATGAGATACGTCCTAAAAGTTCAATAAGGTTTCTAAGACGTATCTCTTATGTCCAGCTCCTCCCCCCCTGCCAAGACCAGGAAGACCTGACTGGAGGACAGACCTGGTATATAACAGGGTATAGTGGATGAGGTCGGGGTGGGAGATAAGGTCTGAGACCTCTAGTCTTTGCATATGTGTGGGTGAATGATACATTATTGCTTAACCAGCTGAGGATTTTGAACATGAGATACGTCCTAAAAGTTCAATAAGGTTTCTAGGACGTATCTCTTACATCCAGCTCCTCTGCCCCTGTCAAGACCAGGAAGACCCGGCTGGAGGATGGACTAAATATATACCAGGTGATAGCGGATAAAATTGGGGTGGGAGATAAGGGATGAGACCTCTAGTCCTTGTATGTGAGCGGGTGAATGGTACATTTTTTTTTAAAATAGTACATTTATTTAGTTTTTGCTTAACCAGCTCAGGATTTTGAATGTAAGGGATACGTCCTAAAACCCCAATAACCTTTCTAGGATGTATCTCTTATGTCCAGCTCCTCTCCTTGTGCCAGGACCAGAAAGAACTGGCTGGGGAACAGACTCAATATATATTAGATGGTTGATGGATAAGATTGGGGGGGGGGGGATAAGGGATGAGACCATTAGTTATATGCGTGCCAGTGAATGATACATTATTACTTAAACCACCTGAGGATATTGAACGTAAGACATACTGTATGTCCTAAAAGTTCAATAGTTTCTAGGATGTATCGTGAACCTCCAGCTCCTCTCCGTCTGCACTAATGCCAGCAATTACCGGCTGTCAAAATGACACCTACAGATAGTCTGCAGGTGTCATGGAGTAAGTCCGGTGGTGAAGCAGTAATGTATCATTCACCCATCATTCACCCGTACACACAAGGGTAGAGGTCTCATTCCTTATCTCTACAATCAATGCTTTGTTACATTGTATCTTCTATTACATTCATACAGTATGTAGATCAAAAGTGGGACCTCTGCATATGACATCAGTTCAGGAAACTGGACAAGTTATTATTTAATAAAATGAAATCCTATTTAACCCCTTATTACCCCTTAGTTAACCCTTATCAGCTCTAGGTTTTTGCTGATTTTTAAACTTTTTTTACTGGTTTTGTTTGTTACTATTGTCAGTATTGCAATAGAAGAAAATGCACAAAAAAGGGTCTTTTTTATATTTTTTTTATTTTTGTCTGTACATTCCATTAAAAAAAAGTCATTTTTTTAAAACCCATATTACCAAAAGAAATTTTTTTTTCTTTTAAAAAAATTGACATAATAACTTGTTAAATACTGATTAAGTTATTGCCAAATAAACAGAAGATGTAAACAGTTCTCTGGTCCCTGGGGGTGTACAGGTATGAGGGCTGAGGTGCTGTGTATAATAAACAAGTGCAATTTTTTTAATAAAATAATTTTGTTCAATTTTTTTTTTTTTTTGGATCTCAGTGCTGCTCTGATTTCCTGCAGCCTCTTTCAGCCACTTCCTGTCTTGCATACTTTTACAGGACCTGCTGTCTGATAGTGACAACAGTGCACTGCACAATGTGTGTCAGCACGGCCATTTGTAGTCTCAATCAGGGGTGCATGGGACATGGTGACAACATAGGAGCACAACTAAGAGACAGTTGTTACCCCATAACAGGAAGTGCTTGAACAAGGACCTGTGACAGTTCACTCAGCAATTGGGAAACAGGGACAGAGAACTGTCGCCCGATACAGAAAAAGGTACAAAGACCTTTATGGCAGTGTGACAACTCATTCAGCAACTAGGAAACAGGGACAGAGAGTTGTCACCTGATACAGAAAAAGGTACAAAGACCTTCATGGCA